GGGGGGGGGGGGGGGGGGGGGGGGGGGGGGGGCTGAGCAGAGAAGAGAGGAGAGAGAGAGCAGAGCTTCAGGCTGAGGGGGCCTGCCAGCATCCCTGCGCGGTTGCTATGGGAACCCCCTGAGCCGCTATCTAGTCTTCCACAGTGACCCTTTGTCTGGCAAAAAAATCAGCTTCTGCAGTTTTTTCTTGATAACTTTTCCATTTCCTCCCAATCCTTGTTTTCCGACCTTTAGCTGGGAGAAATAGGGAAAAAAATGGGGGGGCCAGGGATGCCCCAGCCAGGGGGCAAGTTCAGCCCGGGCAGAGACGGGTCAGACAGGGAGAGGAGGAGAGGAGGCTGCTGAGTGGCTGTGGGTCCCGGCTGGGTGTAACTCAACCCTGATCCCGCCTCAGACTGAGGACTGCTGGACACTGCCTAACTGTCCTTGACCCGCTCCCCGGCGCTGTAAGCCGAGGCCCAACGGGTCACAGGCAGGGAGACCCAGAGAGGCGGTGGGCGGGGCCACGCACTGTCCCCGCTGGCAGGCTGTTATATAATCTGCATTTGAAACACAGGCCTGAGCCCTGCTGTGTGGTTTGGGTTGCTGAATGGTTGGCAACAGGTCACAGAGAGCCCACAGCTCTCCCCGCAGCTCAGAGAGAAGCAGCGCACTGACTGGTGTCTCCCACCCAAGAGTGAGTCCTCCTCAGGGCCCTCGTGTTGCCTAACGATGCTCTCTAAAAGTAGGCTGTCTAACTGAGGTACCATCAGCAGAAATACAGCACCTCTGAAATGAATGTCAATGCACAGAACAGCCTTTTGGAAGAGCTTCAGCCTAACTCTGAAGACTCACTAATCCTTTTACTGCACAATCATAACAAAAAGTCGAAGCTCCCTGATAAATTTTAGCTGCCATCTTACCACCATCCATTCATTTTGATATTTCCAAGTGGAGACGTGGGATGACTGGCTATGTATTTTCCCTCAAGGCTGAAAAATGGCTTTAATACCACAGTCAGAGGTCCTACATGTGACAGCCGAGGCTCTAATCCACCTGATTCATCATAAATTGGAACTCTAAAGTACATTTTTAACCTAAAATATATCTGTACTCACACTAGCTGTGGTGTATTATCCTGTTGTGAGGTCACTGACTTGGCGGGCTAAAGGAGGCGGACAGGAGCATTAGCAGGTGAAACGTGAACGGCCGAGTCACCGCGATGGCTTCAGCGTGTCTCATCGGCCTTCTGAGAGCACGCAGGCCTGTGTTTTTGTGTTTTGAGGGGGTGACTTGTGTGTGTGTTGGGAGGGGGGGAGGCCCTGTGTGCTGACAGCTGGCTTCTATAAATAAATGTCACTGGCAGGGGTGGACAAAGGCTGCAGGGAGAGGAGGAGTGGGAGAGCTCAGAGGAGGAAGAAGGGGGAGCCTGGGGGGGCTTTGGGAGGGGGCGATGGGACGGCTGATAGCAGGGGGCTGATACAGATGTACTCAGAGGCTTAAAAGAATGTGGTGAGGATCCACTGCGCACTTCTCCAACCGGGACCACGTGCCAGCCCCGGCTGTCCAATCAGCTGCCTCAGCAGGGACCATGTGGCCCCTCTGGAGCTGGCTCTCTCTCTCTGTCCGGACTCAGGACCACAAGTGGTGTTGCTGTTCCAGTTTATCTCCCATCTGTCAGCTTCCTTCCCCGGCCGGTTCTGATTGTGTGACACACACATGCACTCAGATTCTCAGCACAACACAGAGAATACACAAAGTGCAAAAGTAGCTATGGTTCAGGAGCTGTTTCGTGTTCTTTAATCAGTCAAAAAGTTGAAGTAGAAGCAGGTCGGATGTCCTAAAGCTCCATGAATTTATCATGGAGGGCTCAGGGAGCCGGGCCACTTCAGGACTCCTCAGAAAGGGACAATCGTCTTGGTAACAACTGATTGAAGGCGCTGTATCGGTGACACGGGCCACTTTCACTTTGTCGCCTCCAGTTACTCTGTCTGTGCCGTACGTGTGTGTGTGTGTGTGTGTGTGTGCAGCTTTGTATAAGAGGCGGAGAGCCGGCTTTGGTTTCCTGTCTTGCTGCAGCACTGAACTCTCTTAACCTGATGAACCTCCTGTGTATGAATTATTCTCCGTCTGACTCAGCTCCTCTGCATGCTGGTCATCAAAGCCTTTAAAGTTTCCTACATTTGTAGGTTGAGCTGCAAATAGAACGACTACTTCTCAGAAGTTTGGTGAAGCCTCAGAAGGAGAAAAAACCCTTTTGTTTCACAAAAAAATTCAGATGTTACACAAACTATCCTCTGGACATACAGCTTAGACTTAAATCATCCTGTTTCCCAGAAGGCCAAACTCCTGCCTGCCTGTTTTGATGGTAAATTCGATTAACTTATGATGCAGAAAATATATTTTTTTAAGTGACTGGTTATAGTTTATACATTTCTAGAGATCAAAATGTTCAATTTCAGTTTGGGGATTCTGAGTTTTTGCTCATTTCCTCAAGTTAGGGTTGTCCTTTCCAGTCATCTAAAGCGGAGTAGATTGGAAAAAGGAAAGACCTCTGTGTTGTGTAAAAGAAGAAAAAGACGCATCTCCTTGACCTTCACCGGGCAGACCAAGTCATTCTTGTCTATTAGAATATGCAGAAGTGGAAATCGGTCTGTTAGGAAAAGGCTCTGACAGCCCCAGAGAGCCTCTCTGCTCCGCTCCACCACATGAGGCAGCCTCTCTCTGAGCCTCTCAGCTGAATTAGCCCTGTGTGGGACTTCCTCCTCTATGTCTGACTGTTTTCTTCTCCTCCGCAGCCTCTCGCACAGACGTGCAGGCTGCTGCCCAAAGATGCTGCCAAGATGCCGGAGAGTGCGTGGAAGCTGGTCTTCTACACCATGTCCTGGTCCTACAGCAGCTACCTGCTCTTCTTCACCTCCTACCCCTTCTTCCACGACCCGCCCTCCGTCTTCTACAGTAAGAAACACCCCGGCTCCTTATGCTGCACACAGGATATGCAGCTGGCTGCCTCATCTATATTCTAACCCTTTAATAGCTCTCACTTCCTATTCTGTTATGGTTATTGATGCACAGCCTTAATATGGGCTGTGAGCTGCATCCGGTATTTAATTCCCCTGCATGTTACTACCACAGAATGGTTCTGCAGCTACATTTATAAGAAACCTTCTGCGTAATTGTTCCTAATGGAAACTAGAGCCGTACCAGATCGTAGAGATGCTTATCTCCACATTACTAATGCAGGGTGGAGGCGCTAGGGGGTTTTCACAAGCCATCCAGTGCTGTCTTTCAGAGCCTCTCAGCTTCCTCCATCAGACTCGGAGGTGTCAGGCCTCCTGATCTGAGCTGGCAAAGCCCAGCTGACAGCGCTCATCATTAATCAATACTCACCTCTAATAGTTGTCAGCTGGAGGCATGTGAAGGGGAACGGGAATTGGGTCAGACTGTTGGTGAGGAGGGAGAACCAAAGGAGATGTGGGGGTAAAAAGAAATGGAAGATTTGGAGAGAGGGACGGAATTGATGAGGGTCTTTATATCTGAGGTAAAAAATGAGAGTCTCCAGTAGAGGTTGACCTGGCTGGCTGCTTCTCTGTTGGCATCCATCTGCCAGGCTTCTTCTCAATGTTTAATGCCGGACGCCCAATCAATAAACATTACAGGAAACCTGAACGAAACCTGAACGAGACCCCCCCCCCACCGGAGACGAGCCCACTGGCTGCCGGAGGAGAAAGTTTCCGTCCGACACCCGATCGGTCTGAGAGACATGAGCCGCCCGCCAGCCCCAACACATTCAGTTGTTTTGCTGTAGAAACACTAGCTAATGCTATTGGGGGTAAACCCGATCCCTCAGCTGCCCCCCCACAGAGCTTACTGCTTATAGATGGCTCTGTTGTTCCTGATTGCACACGCTCCCTGTCACACACATTCATCATCTGTCGCAAATGAATTCCCTCTTACAATGTTTGTGCCACAAATAGATTATCGGTTTGAGCAAAGCTGATGATAAATGGTTAGGATTTTAAATACTATGAGCTCGATTTTTCAAGTATGCTTAAAGAAAACAATTTAATTGTTCATACTTTTGGCTGGAAACATTTTCAATTTTAAATGAATCCGACTTAAATCAGCAAACTATTGAATAAACCTCCAACCCAGGCTGATAAGAAGAGCCCGTCTGATGTGTGAGGTCCATCGGCCTCTCCCGGTCAGCAGTTCACTATCAGCCCCTCACAAGACGATGACCACAGTCAATTTAACGATTTTAAAAAGGCATACCTTTTTATTCCGCACATTTTCAGTTCCCCTGAGTGGCAAACACAGATGTTATGAGATAAAAGTGCAGCACAGCCCAGTGGAGCACATCTGGAGCAGAATCGGAGCTAAAGAGCTCTGTCTGTGGATGGGGGACATCTGGGATTAAGATGGGTCCTCCTGGCCATTGTGCAAGGTCTTGTGTTGCAAACAGGTCAACAGATAACAACAAGAAGATAAAAACATGTGGTGTCAAAGGGTCCAGACAGCTGCTAATGGCTCCACACGTCTCACTCTGGTTTATTTTTATGCAAAATCTCCCGACCATGCCTGTAAAAATATTTGCTTTGTGCGTTAGGAAACAATCAAAATTCTATGGAAATTAGAGTTGTTGCTGCTCCTCCCTAAGCTTTGTACCCTTTTCAGTATGAAATATTAGAGCTGCTCTTTAATTCCCCGTCTTTAATCATTTGTAGATCTTTATTTTTTGTTTTTATTTCATGGTAGATGATCCACTTGATTGGGAGTTTGTTTTAATGCAGAGCTCCCTGAACATCCCTATCGTCCAGTGGGCTAAAACATGCCTCCAGATTCTGCTCTATTTAATGAGTGAATGCTTTTGTAATATTGTGGCTTATGGTTTTCCAGTCTCCTCTGACTGCAGACATGCACACAGGGCTGTTGAATGAGTATTGGCAGATATGCTGCTGCCACCTTCAGGCAGAATGGCATGATGGATTTATTTAGAGTTGCTCAGGTGAAATATGCACAAACAGGAAAATACACACACGTTACACTTTTGAATGAAGATAATTAAGTGGAAATAATGCGTCTCCAGAGCTATTGTAGTTCTTGGCTGACTACCTGGCTTGGGCTGATCGTTTATGGCTTTTGAGAAGTTCTGCTTGGAAACAAAGAAACAGGTACTCAGTCTTCTCATATAAACAGTCATCTCCTCTTCTGTGTGTGTCCCCTGCTGCTTCAGACTGGAAGAGTGGTATGACCGTGCCTACAGACATCGCTCTGGCCTACCTGATCCAGGGCAGCTTCTACGGCCACTCCATCTACGCCACGGTCAACATGGACGCCTGGAGGAAGGACTCCGCTGTCATGGTGGTGCACCACATCATCACACTGGCCCTCATCAGCTTCTCCTACGCCTTCAGGTATGGTTGTCCGCCTCATCATCTGAATCACAAGCTTAGGTTGGGTTAAATGCTAAATTTCAATTTCAGGGATTACTGTAGGTTAGGATAAAACTATTTAGTTAGGTTTTTTATCGTACTGGTGCAAGCACAGCTTCAGTTCCATCCCTGTAATTATATACAGAAAAGATCAACTAAGTCTAAATGTCAGCTCAGGAAAGTCAGAAGGCAGATGTTGGCCTTCAGTAAATGGCCTCACATCTTTGGTTACCTGTTAGGGTTTTAGGAGAAAACACAGAAAGCTGCTCTGACTGGCTCTCCTTCTCTCAGATATCACAACGTAGGCATCCTGGTCTTATTCCTGCACGACATCAACGACATCCTGCTGGAGTTCACCAAGCTCAACGTGTACCTGAAGTCCCGGGGGGGGGGCTACCACCTGCTCAACGACGTGCTGTCCAACATGGGCTCGGTCAGCTTCAGCATCTCCTGGTGAGGACCCAGTAAACCACAGGTGTTGAGCAGAAAACACCTCTGGAATGTATGAGGGGCCGGTCATTAGGAAGGATCATTAAAGCCATCCCCAACATAGCCAGTCCCACCATCTACCCTCTGGTTCCCTTTTTAAATATCCACCTGCTCGGACCAATAGATACACACTCTCCTTTCTTCCCTCTGCTGTTCAGCTGCTGAACTCTGCTAAGAAAAGCAGATAGTCAAAGGTTGCATGCATACAGGCCTCTGCACTGCACATATTCATTCATTTATCCACCTTACTTTTATCTTTTTCAAATATTTGATGTGTTTCTTGTGTTTTTATGTGTGAAAAATGTACTACTACTGCACAAAAACTGCCCATCCTGGGGCCAATAAAAGTGACTGAACTGGACTGTCCTGCTGTCTCTCAGGTTCTGGTTCCGCCTGTACTGGTTCCCCCTCAAAGTGCTGTACGCCACCTGTGTGTCCAGCATCCAGTCCGTCCCCAACATCCCCTTCTACTTCTTCTTCAACCCGCTGTCCCGGGCCCTGCGGCTCATGAACATCTCCTGGTTCCTGGTGGGGCCCCCCCCCCCTCGGCCCACTCTGACCTGTGTGTGTGCTGACCTGTGTGTGTCCTGAGCTGTGTGTGTCCTGGCCTGTGTGTGTCCTGTGTGTGTCCTGTGTGTGTCCTGCTCTCTGTGTGTGTCCTGACCTGTGTGTGTGCTGACCTGTGTGTGTGCTGACCGGTGTGTGTCCTGTGTGTGTGCTGACCTGTGTGTGTCCTGGCCTGTGTGTGTCCTGAGCTGTGTGTGACCTGGCCTGTGTGTGTCCTGACCTGTGTGTGTGCTGACCTGTGTGTGTCCTGTCCTGTGTGTGTCCTGACCTGTGTGTGT